AATCACAGAATCACAGAATAGTAGGGGTTGGAAGGGACCTCTGTGGGTCACCCAGTCCAACCCCCTGCCGAAGCAGGGTCACCCAGAGCAGGCTGCACAGGACCGTGTCCAGGTGGGTCTTGAATATCTCCAGAGAAGGAGACTCCAGGGCCAGGGCTCCGTCACCCTCAGAGGGAAGAAGTTCTTCCTCCTGTTCAGCTGGAACTTCCTGTGCCTCAGTTTGTGCCCGTTGCCCCTTGTCCTGTCGCTGGGCACCACTGAAAAGAGCTTGGCCCCATCCTCCTGACACCCACCCTGCAGATATTTATAAGCATTTATAAGGTCCCCTCGCAGCCTTCTCTTCTCCAGGCTGAACAAGCCCAGCTCCCTCAGCCTCTCCTCGTAGGGGAGATGTTCCAGTCCCCTCATGCGTTTTTCTCCCCGCTGCAGAGGAGATGGGCATCGTACGGTATCAGTCACTGTAGGAGACAAAGCTCAGACTAAACCCAGCTCCTCCTTCTTGTCATCCAGCTCACACCACATCCCCGGGCGTGACGTTCTAGCGCAAGTGCTGTAGTGCAATGTAAAGATGCGTGCTGTGCAAGGTAGTTTGCTTTATGTATCTGTTAGTATTTCACATGGAGAAATAGAAACCGGGCGCAGAAGTAGCTAAGCTGGTGCGTCGGTTGCGGCAGGGCTCCTCCGGTAACGCTTGCCTACGGGTTTCTTCTTCTCAGTGCCTCTGCTCAGCAAGTCTCGCCTGCGCCGAGCCTTGCCAGACTGCCCGTACAAGCCCAGCTACCTGGTGAACGGATTTCCTCTGCAGCGCTACCAGGGACTCCAGTTTGTAAGTTTGGTTCCTTGAGCACGTACTCGCCCAGGGGAGCACAAGGAGGAAGGAAGGAGACCCCATTTACCACGGGCCTCCACTGGTTTGAAGCTCCTGGGCAGATTTCACCCTTTGGTGTTCAGGTCTGAGCATCCCAGTGCATGCCAGAGGGCAACACCAAGAGAAGGGAGAGGGCTGCTATGCACTGCACACAGGTCCTGCTGGGGTACAAGTGGGTGCATCTACAGAGGCCCTCGGACCTCAAACCAAACAGCTGAGCTCGCCTTCACGTGGAGCCTCATAATAGCCAAGGATTTTATTCCCCATGAGGTGAACTGTAGTTTGTGGGGGCTACTGTAGCCCCTTGACAAGCTTAAAACTGGTCTCGAGGGCCAGCTCGCCTTTGTGGGGCGTGCGACATAGGAGGGATTACTCCCCTGCGTAGCAGAGCAGATGCTGAGATCTGCTGGGGATGGATCACCAGCTCAGTTTGCCCTCCCCGGGTGCCAGTGCAAGCCTACTCTCCCTGGGGGACTTGTGTCCTGGGTGGCTGAGGCTCCCTCAGCCTTACCTGGAGGTCTCCACACATGCTTTCTGGGCTTTCTGGGCTCTTGTGATCTCCTGCATCTCTTCAGGGGGGCTTGCCCACCTCTCTCCCAGCTAGATCTTTCTCTGCTATAGGAGTTAAATGCACAGTTATGGAGATGGACGGACAGATGAGAGAGACAAAAAGGCACACGCCTGCACGCGTCCCCGAACGCTTCCTTCTGTCTTCCGTTCTCACAACCTGCTACCAGGTGCCTTGAAGAGGGAAATAGTTAATGAGCAACCCCTGCCGCCTCTCACAAGGGCTGGTCAGCCTGCAACTGTGCCTGGGTCACCTGGTGACTGGTATCTGGTATTTATGAGGGTTTTACTTGATTTTTCTCCCTTCTTCCCAGGTTCATTTGTCCTTTGTTTACCCAAATGATTACAGCCGCCTGAGCCACATGGAGAAAGACAACAAGTGCTTCTATCAGGAGAACCCTTATTACTTGGAAAGGTAGGATGCTGCAGATACGGTTTTACTAGCAGGGGGGAGGACATGGTTTGAAGGCTGGAACTGGGATGGAATTTCAGACTCACTTCTGCAGGAGTCTCTTGATTCTTAAAGATTCCCTAAGCCTTGCAAAACTGCAGCATTTGTAGATTCTTTTGACAGCCTATGCTGCCTTTAAGTGAAAATACTTTTAGGCCTCAAAGGGGAACTGCTGCTGCTGCTTTGCTTGCTCTGTTAACCCAGTAGCTGGGTCAGAGCGTTTTTGTTGCGCTACAGCAGGGAATGGATTTCCAGCAAACTTTGCCTGCCAGCAGCTGGAGCCTCCTGATGGCCATCACTGTGAAAGCCAAACCATGCTCACCACCGGGCATCTCTCTGGGGGAATAAATGCATGTCCTTTGTCTTCACTGGGGTCCAGCTCCCAGCGGTGGCCCTGCCAGGGAGCTGCCACTGGCGTACTCCCACTTGCCACAGGCAGACACCTTGTGTGAGGGCTCCCCTCCGTCCAGGAGGACTTTTTTGCAGGATGAGGAGAGTCAGTTTTCCAGTGAGATAACTGATGCTGGCCTCCCTATGCTCAGGATCTTCTTCCTCCCTACAGGACTGCTTTGAGGGCTGGAACAACAGATCGTGTCATAGATTTTGGAGGGAGCTCCTGGGACTGGGGTTCGTAGTGAAGGATGGAGAAGGTGGCTCCCATGGGCTGGAAGTTGCCACCCAGGTTTATTGCTTTGACAATTCATTTGTATTGTGACAGGATTTGAGAACTAGGGTCCCATTTTGCTTGGCATCAAGCCCACGTGGAGGGAAGCAGTCCTGGAAATCCCTCCCAAAAGCCTGAAGCACACAGACATATGAGGACAGCACACAGACAGCAGTGGTATGAGAGCAGAGGGAAGGAGATCATTGCAGTTACCTGCCTGAGACGCTTTTGCAGCGTGATGACTTGCATTTGTGAGCACTACGTCGCAAGCAAGCTTTAAGGAGCAGTTTAAGGGAGGCTAAAGAAGTGTTTCAGGGTATTTATATTGGGATTTCCTCCTGCACTTCGGAGAAAATGTCTGAGACTGAGGTGATAAGCAAGGAAAACAGACATCTTTGACAGTGCAGAGTAAGATCTGATTGCCCAAAGGTAGGAAAGATGGTGGTGATGATAGGAAAGGAGGATCTAGAGATGCTGAGTAGATGCAACCAGAGTAATGGACCATCACCTCTGAAGAGGTAGCTGTAATTTTTTTGAAGAGGGCAAACTAACTGTCATCAAATTTGTGTTTTGCCCTTTCCTCTGCAGATTTGGATTCTACAAGTACATGAAAATGGACCGGCCAGAGAAGAGCCTGGACTCTGGAGAAAAGACAGAGCAGCCAGGTAAGGACCCTGACATCAGAGCCTGGGGGATCCTTTTACCTGTCACTTTAGTGTGTGATTTTCCAGCACCAGCTGAAACAAGCTGTTGACTTCCCATGCCAAGCAAGTGATGGCCCTTCCCTGCCAGATTGCTGTGGCTTGGAGGAGATTTTTGCTGCCCCTTTCTCTTCTCTTCAGGGCAGGTTGGGAGGTCACCAAACAGTGGGCTGTAGTGGACAACATGACAGTTACCTCTCCGGCCCGCAGCTTAGCTGAGGTGCATTTCCAGCAAAAATGTGGGCAGAAGTGACAGAGCCAAAGGTGTGCAGCGTGGCAGCCTGTGCTCGCACCTGCCCTGCAAAGCCCAACAGCTAAAGGCAAAGCCAGACCCCTCCACAGCCTTCGGCCATGCTGGCTGATAGGTGCTGCAGAGGTTGGTACCACCAAGAGCGCTCCTGTGTCCGAGAGCATCCCTGTCCCTCTGAGCAGGAGAGACAACGCTGAGATGAGGCGAGAAGTAGCTGCCCCCAGCGGGGCCGGTGCCTGGGTCAGGGCAGGGACGGCAGCGGGAGGATGACGGAGGTGTGACTGTGATTACTCCTGCAGGCTCCCAGGAGGGGAACCTGGATGACCTGCAGTACGCGGAGCAGGACGCGGAGAGTACCGGTCCCCCCAAGCGCCCCGGCACGGGGAGAGCAGAGCCGGCAGGCAACGCTCCCAGCAGCGTGGTGGGCAGCGACAACGTTCACGAGGACTATTCCCTCCGGGAGCGTCGTCGGCTCCTCTCGGTGATGCGTGGCAGCATGGGAGAGGGGCTACAGAGGGGAAGGACGAAGAGGTCTGGCGTCAGATCAGCCACGCTGGCCTCGGCGAACCAAAGCCTCAGCCAGGCTGTCCTGGACGGGCACCCAGTAATGAAAAGACCCCGTTTAAAAGCTGGCGTCAAAGACAACTCCAGGAGCCCTCCGCAGCACGCCAGGGCCATCCAGGGCAGAGCGCCTGTCAAAAAGGCGAACCCCCCTTCTAGGACCATGTCTCAAAAGCAGCAGCCTGTTGGTGGCCCCAGGGACTCAGGGGTCATGGCTCCCAAAGGGGTGAGAGCTCGAGGAGGCCTCAGCACCGCTGAGGATGGGCTGCAGCCAGCAGGCACCGTGGCAGCCAGGAAGGCAGGGCCAGTCTCCGGGATTTTTTTTTCTGCGAGCGCGGCCAGCCCCAGCCAGCAGCCCGGGCTGCCGCAGTGGCTGGACCAAGTGGAGTCCTACATTGCTGAGCAGAAGGCGGCCAATGGTGGGGACGTGGGCGAGGGAGAGGTGCAGATGGCATCTCCTGTGAAGGGCAAGTCTGGACCTGTGGCAGCAGAAGAGGAAGAGGAAGAGGCAGATGGTGAGCCAGAGGAGGATGATGAGGAGGATTTCGATTACATACCAGTGTTTGACCAGGCGGTGAACTGGGAGCAGACCTTCAGCACAAGCAACCTGGACTTCCATATGCTGCGCACAGACTGGATTGACCTGAAATGCAACACGTCAGGAAACTTGCTGCTAAGGGAAAGGGAGGCCCTGGAAGTCACACGTGTCTTCCTCAAGAAGCTCAACCAGAGGAGCAAAGGGTAAGGCACAGTGTGAAAACCACGGGGCAGTGTCCAGGAGCTGGTGTCCCACGCTGCACAGGGAATACCTGTTGTGTGAGGAGCTAGTGGGAATCAGAGGATAAACTAGACGTGGGAAATAAAACTTCAGGCAAGGGATCTGTGTAGAAAAAATGGGCTTGAAGTACCTCTTTTGGCTGAGAAATGGGAATTGTTGGACACCAGACCATGTCTGGGGGCTGAATATCATCCTCCGACAGCTGGTGGCAGTTAGCGTGACAGATTGGCGGTTTCCATCCATCTGGCATCACTGGCCTTTTGCTGGTTTCCTCCATGCACAGTGTAGGTATTGTGGAGCATTTGGGAGCGTTTTACCAGCTGAAGATTAAGAAACCCTGCTGACATGAAGTAGGACCGGAGCTCCTCATGCTCGTGGTTTGATGCCTGCCACATCTTAGCCTGTGAATCACTGAGGACATAGGACCGGAGGGGACCTAGCAGATAAAGTGGATGAGCACATTGACCTCGGAGACAGCCAACCACCCTACACCGTTACCTAAACATCTGCACCTCTGTCTTAAAACTAGCTAGATTTCTAGATCCTGTTACTGATTTGAGAAGAGGTTTCAGCTCCTTGCTGCTTTGATGACCAGCTGGTATTCTGTTTTTATGTGGTCTTGATATAGTTCTTTTTCTTCTCAAGACTTAGCATCTTGATTGCCTTTCTGGCAAACAGATGTACCTCCTCTGAGCCTCTGTAAGCCGAACAATCCAACTCCTGACCCTTCTGTTGAGTTGGCCTCTGTTTCTGTAGTTTTCCTCTCTGTCCTTCTCCATGCAGGTTTCAGTTCGGGTTAATTTTCCTGTACATAAGTGGATGTTGTATAAAATGGGTGTTACTAGTCCGCAGTCCCTGCTGGAAGTAGCCCTCTTGCTACATCTTAAGGCTGCATTTTTTTTTTCTGGGCCACATCACATGGTGCAACTGATCAGTACACACAAGCTTTTCTCAGCATTTTTAACTGATAAGCGTCCGTTTTACAGCAGAAACTCTTGTTATGATCTGAAAGGCCATGACCTGGCATTTCATCCTGTTTTGGCCATTCTGAACCCACAGCTCACCCCAGTTTTTACGGTGTGATTGCTCAGTCCTGCTCCATGTTATTGGCTGATAAGCTGTCATCAGCCAGTTTCACTAGCCCAAACACACTCCTTGTGCCAAGGTCGTTGTAGGAGGTGTTGAATACACTCGCTATTACCAGCCCTACAATCAATCAGACACATTTGTTATTCTCTGTGTCACCTTTGTTTCATTTCCCTTGACAACTATTTTGTCTTGGCTGGAATCCCAGCTCTAATCCCACATGCTTGTGGATTTAGGAAACAGGTGCTCAACCTTCCCATGGGAAGCGGTGCAGCAAAGCAGAGGGAAGCTGGGGACAAAAAGCTTTGTGCTAGCCAGGAGGAAAGAGCCTAGCAGAGCTGAACGGGCTGGGAGGTGGGAGAGGGGCTGGTGCACGGGGGACGTGCCCACCCCGGCTGTATCTCCTGCAGGCGGTTCCAGCTGCAGCGTATCG